AAAATAGTAAAGACATTTAAAATTTTATTCGTGCATATATTTAGTAAATCATATTCTAATCATTTTTAGAATATTTAATACTGTTTTTTTTTTTTAAATTATTTTTTGATCATTTATAGTTTTACATTTATTATTAATGAAAATGTTAAAAAAGGCTTCAGATGTGTTGTCGCCAAATTATGTACCCATATGCATCTGCTGCCTACACACATTTATAGGGTATGAAAATGGCATTTTCATTTTCGAATGAGCCCATTAAACGGCAAAGGCATCGTTGCTCGAAGGGGCCCCCGCACTTATTTGGCCATAAATTCAGCGGCTTCTTCCTCTCTTAGTAATTGGAGCTCATAGATTTGTGCAAGTTTTGTGGTTACATTTCATTTAATTTGTCCTCATTGAATATGAAAGTTGTTGGCCGTTTGGTTTTTTCCAGTTTTGGGCTGCAATTGCTGTAGAATTTATTGCTAAAAATATTTCGCCAGTGGAAAATGTATTTGGCTAATGTGAATCTTGGCTTAAGCCGCTGCCCTGGCTCAGTGTCCGGCTAATGGCTTGACTTGTTTTGGCATTGCCTTTACGGTTCGTTGGCGTTCGTCTGTAACGTTGATTGCCGTTTAGGATACTTTGAAGTTTTTATTCTGTTTCTGTTTTGGCAAGTGCCAGAGAGCATATTAGTTACGGATTTTCGAATTGTATATGTGTGTGTATATAAGGAAAGGAAGAGAGAGAGAGAGAGAGAGAGAGAGAGAGAGAGAGAGAGAGGGAGAGAGGGAGAGAAAGAAAGAGAGAGAGAGAAAGAGAAGCAATTGGGATTTCGTTTTATTTTCATTTAATACGCTTTTTATGCGTACTTTACAATTACTTTGATTTCAGCGAATGTCTAGACAGCAGATGGATTGGACTGGGAATTGTATATTAATGGATTTTTAGCATATTTATTCTTGATTTTTTTTTAGCCGTTTGCCCAATTCAAATCACTTAGCAGCAATAATTCGATTGGACAGCGCATCGTGTTCGCAATATTAATCATTTTACTCTGACGAGTTTATTTGCGTCATTCATAATAAACATGAAACGCTTAAATCTCTTTTTTTGTTATACTCGTTTACGACGTGTAAAGAGTATATTCGTACAATCATTCATGTATCCGTACACCCGTTCATTCGGACATATCTTTATTAAACGAACGACCGTCCGTATGTCTATCCGCCCACCTATTCGTCCACCTATTCGTCCACTCAACTATGTCCGAATATTATACCGAGAAAAATGAATATTAATAAATTTA